GAGAGAATCCCAAGCAGGCTCTGTGCTGTCAGCACAGAGCCTGACACGGGGCTCGATCCCACAACCCTGGGATCATGACCTGGGGTGAAATCAAGAGTCTGATGCTCACCCGACTGAGCCACCCAGGTGCCCTGGCCTGTTCCTTTTCTGATTTTTGAGGGAAACTCAAGGAATACTACATAGTATCAACGATTAGGAGATGACTCTTCAGTGTTAGGAAGAACTAACTTTGGAAAGGCGGTCTATACTGCAGGAGGTTTTCCTGTTTGTGGCATCAGGACACTTTTATCATGATGCTCACATGAGCTAGAAGATGACGCAGAAGGATGAATACAAAGACGTTAAGTACTTATTTTTTACGGATGCCTGAAGATGAAGGTGTTAATTCCCAATTTCTAGAAAATCACAGTGATATCAGTTATCGCATTCAAGTCCTGCGAACAGTGTTTCAGGACTGCTGGTGGCCCTGGGGCGGTGCTCTGAGAGCATCTCCCACAGGAACGCAGGGGACGTGACGGTCTCCCTGCCTCGTGCTCGGTCCACGGCTCCCACCACCGGCCGCCACCTGTCACCACAACAGGCTCACATCACGGACGTCCGTGGTGATGATGTCCCTCCCACTCCTGCGCTCCCACCATGATGTGGCCTGAAGTTGACAAATGGTTTATAAGTTGTGGGACTTGAATTAATCAAATGGCACTTTGTAAAAAGGTAAGTGATAATGGTTTTGTCAACGGAAAGGACTCCTATTAGCAAAGGGCAGGAGCGACCGCTTGGGACGGACAGTCGGCAAACAAAAGACTTGGTGTGTGAAACGTGGGGGCCCTGCCGCAGTCCTGTAACCTCCAGGCGCCTCGCCGGCCCGCCCCCCGCTCTCACACCCGGTCCATGTAGGTGGCAGCACCATCAAGATTTTGGAGATAATAGCTGTGCTAGATCCCGACTCGCAGGCCTCTCAACAGCACTTAGGAGCCTGCTGGAACACGTTTCCCGCTGCTGGGCCTGGGCCTGGGGACCTCTACGTTTCGTGTGCCTGGTAGACGAAAGAGAAGTTATTCCCTCGGTTTACACGGATCCACCCGTCTGGGCTGGAGTAGATTGTTCCCTCCCTCTGGCTTTTGTCGTCTCTCTGGCTCTCTCGCAGACTCCCAGGACAGGGGCAGCGAGGGGCCGACCAAGGCATCTCCTCGGGCTTTGAAGGGGAAGACAGTGGTGGGAGCTTATATTCGCTGACAGCAGGTGGCAGGTGGCTAGGGAAGGGGGTGTTTCGCCTTAGCCGGAGATTTGCCCATCGGGGAAGAGGAGGAAAGAACCCCCCCCCCCCACATGTGTTTATGCGGATTTATCTACATCAGGACGTTTCTGTGCTGGAGATTTGTCTAAAGAGGGGACCAGCGCTCCAGCCCACGGTGTTGTCCCGACTCAGCTCCTCAGGGGCACCCGGGGTCCCTGGGGCACGCTCCACCATCGGGGCCTCGCAAGTGTCCACAGAGGCGGAAACTGAGGTCCGCGTTCCCACACAGTTTCCCAAACGGTAGTGATTGTGACAGGCGCTTCCAAACCAGCGGCTGTGAGACTCACTCAGTGCGTGCTAGAGACAGGCATCAAAGATTCTGACACCCCGACAGCCAGGCCGCACAGGTGCCGTGTCCCCTTCCCTCGGGCTTGCTCTGGAGGAGACAGTCACAGACCAGAGTTGGGAAGGGCCTCAGTGCCCATGTGACGAAATGCCGTGAGGCTGTGGACACAGATGTCTCACAAGTAAACCCACGGACGTGCCCGGGACACGTTGCAGTGTGTGGGTCAGTCAGCTTCGGGGCAGTCGGCGAAGCACAGGGTCCATTTGCTGAAGCACGAGGACCTGGGGTCCTGCACAGCGTGTTCCGACAGTGACTTTCTCCGGGGTAACACGACGAGCCGAAACACTAATTAGATTTGTCTGACTTTCTCATCTGTGTACAAGGAACTCAGATTGCCAACTGCCGCTCCCCAGGGTTTTGTTGTTAACGATCTCACACATACAGAAGATCTAAAGAAAAGCATCCGCATCACTTAGAGTCAGCGAGTAACAGTTTGTCACGTGCCTATGTTTGCTTTTCTGAGCCATCTGACAAGCCATAGCCCGCCTGTCACCTGCCATCGCCCTGGGCAACCACACTCTCCTTATCCTTCCTAAAGAGTAATTCCCTCACACAACTAATTCTGCACTGTTTCCAGAATTTTTTTCTTAAGCAGGCTCCACGTCCAGCATGGAGCCCAACAGGGGGCCTGAACTCATGACCCCGAGATCAAGACCTGAGCTGAGATCAAGAGTCGGACGCCTAACTGGCTGAGCCACCCAGGTGCCCTTGCTTCTAGGATATTAAAGAGGAGTTTAACACATGTGACTTCCCATAGAAGCGAATACATTGGATAACACTTTGGCCTCCCTTCAGACTTAAAAGTATCGTCATGCGTCTTGCTACCTGGGCCCACCCGTCTTCTGCAAATCCATTTCCAAGAGGGGCTTGCCCCCTCCCACACCCACCTCCTTGACCTGATCTGCCGGGCAGCACGGGAGGAGGAAGCTGGCACCAGGGAGGGGAGGGTGCCCGGGTTCAGGACTGAGTGCTCTGGGGACGGGGTGGGGTGGGGGTGGGCAGATGTGGGACAAGGCAGGACACAGTGTCTCCCGGGAGGGGTGAGAGCATCCATTCACAGTTGGATCCCCCAAACTGAACACGTCTCTCTGGCTCTGGTCTCACCACCACCGAGTGGAGGAATGATCTTGAAATGTTGAAGTTCCACCTGTGAACCCCTATCACCTGCAGGACCGATGAGAACATTTAAAGAGACTTGTTTTGAGCGAGCTGTGGCTGCAGGAATAGAAAAAAGCAGTGGGTCCGTGTGGTTTCCTGCACTCACTGCTCCCTCAGCGGCTAATTACAAGTCAATCCGTTTCACACAATTTCAAGTTTTAATTCCCAGCTTTCACGGTCTTCTTAAAACGTGATTCAACAGAAATATTAACATAAAGCACTTCACTGTAGAATCTTTAGCACATCGTGGAGAGATGGGGGTCATACCTTGGTGCTGGTTTAGTGTAGTGAAGAGATATTATAAAGGGCGTACGTGGATTCTTGCTCGGGAGAGTTGGCGGACGTCAAAGAGCAGCTCGCGACGTGATTGCTAATGTGCTCATGGCAGGAGCGCCGGGCGCTTCAGTGGGCCGATACTCTATCCAGTGCCTTTAATGCAAATAGCTTCCCATACGGCAATGAAATTGAAGTGAAAAATTCAATTTATTCTCTTCCTCTGTCCTTCCCTGATGTTGTCCTAGTTTGGACACTTTCTTTCAAGAGCTACCGATAAGGCCCTAATGCTCATCAGAATGCAAATTTACAAAGAACCTTGTATGACGATTGCCTCTGACGTGCATGGAAATGTGATGAACTCACTTGCTCCCGTTAAGTTACTTTTCATGTGTCTACTACAATTTCCAATTCTTGCAAATTTTGGTATGACATGCCAGCAGAACATTCACATGATCCTTTTCTTTCAAAATTTGAGGTGGGTTTTTGTAGAATTTGCAGGTAGTTTGAAATGATCATTTGAATATTTATTCATCCCTGATCTGTGGGATCTTCCGTGACTGAGGTTGTGGAGTGGGTGTCGGAAAATCACTGCCCCCACAGGTGTGTCCCCCTGTAAGGTCTCAGCGTTACTGTTTTCATATTTATTGAGCACACATTTCTGGTTATTTTTTTTTTTTGAAATCATACTTAGTATTTAAAAGTTATTTAAAGAACAGATTGATG